CCCTTATCCAGCCCAGGGGATGTAGGAGTACTCACACTATCCCCTCCTCCTGGCCTTTTTCTGGGCTGGCTCCTTCCCTGCTGCTCAGGATGTCCTCCCTGGGAGACAATGGTACAGTAGCAGAGATCCTCTTGTTCATCAACTGCTCGTAGGTACCCCTCTCAGGCTGCAAACTCCAGCTCCTCACTCCATCTTCCATCCAACAGTCTGCCCTGGCTCCCCAGGATCTGGCCCATTTGAGGATTGTCTTGGTCACCATGAACAGCCTCCTGCCAGGGGATTGGCCAAAGCTCCTCAGTCATGAAGATCTGGGCCTCCTCCCCTCCTCCAGAAAGCTCTCAGGTTTCTGGAGAGGTGGGAGGTCTCCAGAAGCTCTGACATGAGAGAGCCTTCTAGCCTGTCCTGAGATTAATTCTTGCCACACTTAAAGGCTGACTCATCCCAGGCTGCTACTCAGCCTCTGCCTAAAAAAAATGCAGAAAAAAACACACAGCCTATCTGGCTAACCTGAAGGGCATTACACTAGCATAATAAGTGGAGCAGAAATCAAAAAGTCTATCATTTTTATTGGCCACTACTCCCTCCACGAGGCCCAGCAGTCGGGTCCAATGGAAGTGACAAGTTTTCCACTGTATTCAGGGGTGTATTAACCATGGGACAAACAAGGCATTTGCCTTGGGTGACATTTCAGAAGAAAGGACACATGTGGCAGGTGACAGAGGATGGGGACCAGGTCAGGCAAAGCCTGGGCTCTGCCATGGGATCCGAGAGAGGCTGTTGGCTGCTTGAGGGTTTGGGTAGAAGTCGGCTCTCGTTCCCACACAAGGACGACACTGGGTTTTCCTGACCATGTCTCCAGGGATAGCCGGCTGCTTTCATTCCGGAGGTGAGTGCTGGAGGAACATCTCTCTCTCTTCTCTCTCTCTCCTCTCTCTCTCTCTTCCACTCTCTCCTTTTTTAGATTTTGTTTGTGGGTGAGGCGCCTGATTTTAGTGTTGCCTCGGGCGGCACAAAAATAAAATATACAAGTGACTGTATTGGCAGCATCCACCACCGCCCTCCAGTAGCATTGAGGGGTTGATTGTTTAGGCCTGCTCAGTGTCTCACAGGCTGCTGCTCTGATTATTTTCCTTGTGTTGTAGAGGATTCTAGAATTTTAGGGGGAGGAAAAAAAATGGCAGCCTGAATATTTATGGGACTCCAGCTAATCCCTGCAGATATGTACCCAGTAGGCAGCAGGAGAGCCCATAAATAGTCTGAGATCTGAGACAGGGAGAGAGAGTTCCTGGGTCCAGTCCTGCTGGAGTAGACCACTGTGCATGGGCTCTGCCCCTGGGGCAAGAGTTCTAGAGGTGGCACTAAGAAGACATAGAGGTCCCAGCTAAGTCTTAGTTATGGAATCAGTTTGAATCTGGAGAAGATCTTTTAGAGAACCAGGAGGAAGTTGATGGGGAAAGAGTCCAACTGTCCTATGGTGGTCCCAGCTAAGCCAGTAAGCTTAGTCTTGGAATCAGTTTGAATCTGGAGAGAGAGATCTTTTGGTGGTCCCAGAGAACTAGTAGGAAATTTGATGGGGAAAGAGTCCAACTGTCCTATGGTGGTCCCAGCTAAGCCAGTAAGCTTAGTCTTGGAATCAGTTTGAATCTGGAGAAGATCTTTTAGAGAACTAGGAGGAAATTGATGGGGAAGGAGTTCAATTGTCCTATGGTGGTGTGAACCTGTATTTCCCTCACCGAGAAGAGCCTGGTGGTTATCGACAGGAGGAAAACCAATGATCCTGTGGCTATGTGAGTAGATGATCCAAGTGCTGGAAAATCAGTGATTGTGAACAGCTTTTGGTCCCTGGGAGAAGTCATAGCCACTGTTAGTAATAGATTCTGTAGGACATTTTTTTGTACTGTTCAGCAAGATAGCTAAAAGTGTTCAGTTCATCAGTTTTGGGGTATCCCATGCTCCCCTCACTCTATCCAAATTCAACATTCCAATATAATCCAAAAAAAGACACCCCTAGACTTTTCTTTCAAGCCAGTCCAGGAGTAAAGAAAATGCTGTGTGCCTGACTGTGTGTGCTTCATCTGGGAGAATGGAACTAAGTTCACTAGTGGATCTTTAGGGATGTGCTACACTAGGCTTACAAAGCATGTAAGAACATGGGAAGGACTACACCATGTATTTTGTGTCCTGGGGGACAGAACTGTAAAAAAATTGAAGGGAGTTTCTCTTGAACAATAAGCTGCTCTCTCCTTGTGCAGGGGACTGGTGTTGACTCTGCCCCCGCAGCTTGTAGTGGGTGGGTCTCATGGCCCCCTCCCATGACTATGTTTTATTGTTGTCATTGCCTTTACAATGCCCCCCCCCTCCCCCTTTTTCCTAATATTTTATATGGGTATTACAGGGACAGGAAGTGAGGTGAAATCCCTCCAATAAGATCATAGGCAGAAATTAGACTTATCAGAAATTAAAATTCCTGATCTATTTGAAAAGAACACAAACAAATACATATAGATAGATTTGGGTTTTAAATAGTAATGTATACAGAGAAGGTGCTTTTATTAACTCAGTTTAATTACTATGCGACATACGTAGGTTTGGAACAACTTTTCTAGCTTTCCCTGAGAATGGAAAATATGAGATTGTTCTCCAAAGCCAGATGAAAATAGGCAGCTATAAATGGACCTCTCATTAGATTGCATGTTATAGGGAAGAATACTATGTTTTGTGTCAGTGTAACACTTCTGTGTATTTATCCAGCCCTCCGCTTCAGCCTCTCACCTTGCGACATGCTACAAAGTTACAGTCTGACCATTGGGGAAGAGGAGACTGAGGAAATGCTTTCTTCTGCCTGCAGTAGATTGATGACATTATCTTAGCCTAGGCAAAGCCTAAGGACTGGATCTTGATGATTGGAGGAGAGGAGACTGAGTAATTGCTTTCTCCTCTTGTAGCAGGCTGATCACATCATCCCAGCCTAGACAAAGTCAATGGACTATAGCTTTGATAATTGGGGAAGAAGTAGCTCTCCCCCAACTGATGACTGGGGGTAAAGGAGATTGAGGAAATTCTTATTCCTCCTGCAACAGATTGATGACATCATTTTGGCTTAGGCAAAGTCAATGGACTGAAGCTTTGATGATTAGGGGTGGAGACATTTCCCCAGCTGATGACTGGTGGAGAGGAGACCCTGCTAGAGCTGATGACTGGGGGAAAGGAGACTGAGCAAATGCTTCCTCCTCCTACTGAAGACTGATGACATCATCTTAGCCTCGGCAAAGCCTAAGGACTGGATCTTGATGATTGGGGTGGAGGAGAGGAGGAGACCTGAAGAATTGCTTTCTTCTCTTGTAGCAGGCTAATCACATAATCTCAGCCTAGGCAAAAGTCACTGGTCTATAGCTTTGATAATTGGGGAAGAAGTGACTCTCCTCCAACTGATGACTGGGGGAAAGGAGACTGAGGAAATGCTTCCTCCTACAGAAGACCGATGACATCATCTTAACCTAGGCAAAACCTAAGGACTGGAGCTTCATAATCGGAGAAGAGGAGACTGAGGAATTGTTTTCTCCTCTTGTAGCAGGCTGATCACATCATCCCAGCCTAGGCAAAGTCAATGGACTATAGCTATGATAATTGGGGAAAAAGTGACTCTCCTCCAACTGATGACTGGGGAAAAGGAGATTGAGGAAACTCTTCTTCCTCCTGCAGCAGACTGATTACATCATTTCGGCCTAGGCAAAGTCAATGGACTGAAGCTTTGATGATTAGGGGATGGAGACTCTTCCCCAGCTGATGACTGGGGGAGACTAGACTGAGGAAATGCTTCCTCTTCCTACAGACGACTGATGACATCATCCTAGCTTAGGCAAAGTCAATGGACTATAGCTATGATAATTGGGGATGGAGACTCTCCCCCAACTGATGACTGAGGGAAATGAGATTGAAGAAATTCTTCTTCTTCTTGTAGCAGACTGATGATATCATTTCAGCCTAGGCAAAGTCAATGGACTAAAGCTTTGATGATTAGAGGATGGAGACTCTTCCCCAGCTGATGACTCTGCCAGAGCTGATTGCTGGAGGATACGAGACTGAGCAAATGCTTTCTTCTTCTACAGAAGACTGATGACACCATCTTAGCCTAGGCAAAGCCTAAGGACTGCAGCTTGATGATTGGAGGAGAGGAGACTGAGGAATTGCTTTCATTTCTTGTAGCAGGCTGACCACATCATCTCAGCCTAGGCAAAGTCAATGGACTGGAGCTTTGATGATTGGGGAAGAGACTCTCCCCCAACTGATGACTGGAGGAAATGAGATTGAGGAAATTCTTCTTCTTCCTGCAGCAGACTGATGACATCTTTTCAGCCTAGGCAAAGTCAATGGACTGAAGCTTTGATGATTAGGGGATGAGACTGGTCCCCAGCTAATGACTGGAGAAGATTTGACTGAAGGAATGACTTCCTCTTTCTACAGAAGACTGATGACATCATCTTAGCCTCGGAAAAGAGAATGGATACTGGAGACTTTAAATTATAAACTGTGGAGCTTCTCTAAAATATGATGCTACTGCCGTATATTGCAACATGTAGGGAATTTATCCATGCTGATAAAGACGAAGATATGCACTTTCATGGGTCACTCCTGTATTTATTTAACCAATTCAATACCGTGCAATTTTACCCCTTCCTGCCCAGGCCAGTTTTCAGGTTTCAGCGCTCTCACACTTTGAATGACAGTTGCGCGGTCATACAACATTGTACCCAAACTAAAATTTTATCATTTTCTTCACACAACTAGAGCTTTCTTTTGGTGGTATTTAATCATCGCTGGGGTTTTTATTTTTTGATAAATTAACAAAAAAGTCTGAAAATTGTGAAAAAAAAAACACATTTTTCTTTGTTTCTGTTATAAAAGTTTGCAAATAAATAATTGTTCTTCATAAATTTAGGCAGAGATTCTGCTACATGTCTTTGGTGAAAATAACCCAAATTAGGATGTATTTTTTAGTTTGTAGGAAAGTTATAGAGTTCACAAACTATGGTATAGATCTGAATATTGATCAGTCCTGAAGTACTGACAGCCAATCTAATTTCTTGAGGTCCAAGAATGTCAGAACAGTACAGATATCCCCCAAATGTCAGAACAGTACAGATATCCCCCAAATGTCAGAACAGTACAGATATCCCCCAAATGTCAGGACAGTACAGATATCCCCCAAATGTCAGACAGTACAGATATCCCCCAAATGTCAGAACAGTACAGCTATCCCCCAAATGTCAGGACAGTACAGATATCCCCCAAATGACAGGACAGATATCCCCCAAATGTCAGGACAGTACAGATATCCCCCAAATGACCACTTTTTGCAAAGTAGACTGTCCGATGTACTTCATAAGAGGAATGGCGAGTTTTTTGAAGTTGTATTTTTTTTTTGTCATAATTTTTTCGGAATATGAAAAAATAAAAAAAATTATTTTTACTATTTTTTTTTTACATACTGTCACCAGTGCAGTACAGCATCATCATATAACTGGCATGGCGGTGAACAGGGACACTGACTGGTGACAGTGTGAAAAAAAAAAAATATATATTTTTTTTTTTCTTTAAAATTTTTTATTAAATTTTTTTTTTTCTTTCTTCTTTTTTTTTTAAGATTTTCTTTTCATATTTCACTATGACCAAAGTAGTACAATGTTACCATAGTAACATTGTACTACTTTGGGGAAGTGATCAGTATTTTTTTTTTTTTCACACAATTTGCTTATAGCAAAGAATTACTTTGCTATAAGCAAGCATTTACCTCAATGACATCGATTCATTCAGGGTTTTTTTTTTTTTTTGTGCTTAGCTGTGATTTGGCCACAGCTAATCACATGACGTGCATGTGACCTGCTGTGACCATTCACAGCTAGACACTAGTATACAATGGATGGCATGAATGAAGCCATCCAGTGTATACAAGTGTCATGTGACCTGCTGTGATTGGTCACAGCAGGTCACATGGTACCTGAAACGGTACTCAGATCTGTCATTGGCCGTGTCCGAGGTACATGGCCGGGACAGATCGCGCCGCTGTGCAGCTCTGCAAACTGCGCATGTGCGGGAGGACGCCATATGGCGGCCCCCGGAAAGGTAATGCATTTTTGCGGACGCCATTTGGCCATAGGCCGGGCGTCAAATGGTTAATGATTTGTATAGTGCCAACAGTTTGCTCAGCGCTTTACAAAATCAAGGTAGACATTACAGTTACAATACAATTTGGTACAAGAGGAAACCGCAGGCCCGGCTCGTTAGAGCTAGACTTGATTCTGCATATATGACACACAGACAGCCACTCAAAGGAAATTTACAGATTTATATAGGAAACTAAATTGGTAAAAAAAAAATCTAAACATTACATTGTGACTTTTGTGGTCATACAAAAGTTCCATAGCGTAAAGAACATTGGCCGCTGAGGGCAACACAGACAGCTTCAGACCCTTTTCCATCATCCGTTTTATACTTATCTGCTAAAAGAGCTCGTCGTAAGTCGTTGCTGTTTAATTCCCTTTTTTGTAGGTGAGTTATATGGCGACAATAATGAGCAGAGAGGTGGAGAAGATATTCAATCGGGAAGAGAAAAAGTTGGTTTAGTCAATTTAAATGCACTTTTTATGTTTGGCATGGAAATGACAACTATTGGTCTAGCAGTAATAACTTTCGCTGGATATAAATTCTGTTCAGGAAAGGAGTATAAATACGACATTTCATATCCTATATCCAGTTTCCATAAAAGAGATTTTACAGTTCTTAAATTTTTTCAGTCTTGGGTGTAAAACACGGGCCGGCCTCGACGATACGAGCTATCACAAAGCAGGTGCGCAAAGTGCCTGCCGTAGTTAAGCACATGATGAGTCGTCACATATTAATATCCGCTATGGCGCAAAACGCATTAACGCTGTCAATACTGGCAGGTGGAATATGTTATCAGCTGTTTTCTTTCCACATTTCCTATTTGTTGTGTACAAACAATGTAACCTTTTTCAGTTGCCCGATCAGATTGACGTTTGCGTGTATTTGGAAAGTTCAAAAAACAGGAGAGAGAAGAGAATGTCAACAATCTGATTAAAAAGTCTAAGTAGTCTTTATTCATCAAAATTGTAACTGTAAGCAGTCAACGCGTTTCATAGGCTTCTCCGCTCCTCTTTTATCAGGGCTTATGGGGCTAAAAAAAGTGAATAACTATTCCAGACCCTGTTGGGACATTTCATTGTAAGTGCTTGCGTAAATGGCTCTTGATATCAGAACAGCATCTGAAGTAGAAATGTGTGTGCATCCAAACAAGTGGTGGCCTATTTAAGGAATACAGCAGAGTTTGGAAGTTCCTGGATGGTGTACAGATTTTACCCTGTGACTTGAACCAAGAACCTATTCCTGAGATTTCTTTTCCTTTTGTTGCCCTTGGACTTGTTTTGCTCCAACTTCCTGCTATTGACCTCAGATAGTTCCTAAACACAGCTTGTCTCTGCTGATTCTTGGTTTGACCTTAACTAGTTCCATGGTTAGCTAGTGTTTGACCAAAGTTTGACTCTGCCAATTCCTTCTATAACCTGGGCTAGTTTCTGACCACAGCTGATTTCTGGTTGGACTTCGGCTAACTTTTGACCAAGGCATGTCTCTGCTGATTCACAGTTTGACCACGCCTAGTTCTTGACCAAGGTTTGTTTTGGTGATACCCGGTTTGAGCTAGTTCCTGAACACAGCTTGATTTCTGCTTTGACCCTGGATAGTTCCTGAAAACAGCTGGTCTCTGCTGATTCCTGGTTCAATCTCGGCTAGTTTCTGACCAAGGCATGTCTCTGCTGATTCATAGTTTGACCTTGCCTAGTTCTTGACCAAGGCTTGTTTTTGGTGATGCCCGGTTTGAGCTAGTTCCTGAACACACCTTGATTTCTGCTTTGACCTTGGATAGTTCCTGAAAACAGCTTGTCTCTGCTGATTTCTGGTTCAACCCTCGGCTTGTTCCTGACCATGGCTTATCTCTGCTGAGTTCCTGTTTGAGCTTGGCTAGTTCCTGACCATGGCTTATCTCTGCTGAGTTCCTGTTTGAGCTTGGCTAGTTCCTGACCATGGCTTATCTCTGCTGAGTTCCTGTTTGAGCTTGGCTAGTTCCTGACCATGGCTTTTCATTGCTGAGTTCCTGTTTGAGCTTGGCTAGTTCCTGACCATGGCTTATCTCTGCTGAGCTCCTGTTTGACCTCAGCTGGTTCCTGCCCAAGGCTTGTCTCTGCTGATTCCCAGTTCAACCTGACTAGTTTCTGACCAATGCATGTCTTTGCTGATTCATAGTTTGGCATTGGCATGTTTTATGACCAAGGCTTGTCGCTGCTGATGACCAGTTTGAACTCTACTAGTTCCTGACCAAGCCTTGTCTCTGCTGATGCTAGGTTTGATCTTGGCTAGTTCCTGACCAAGGTTTGCCTCTGATGATGCCAGGTTTGATCTTGGCTAGTTCCTTATCAAGGTTTGTCTCTGTTGATGCCCTGTTTGACCTTGACTAGTTCCTTATCAAGGCTTTTCTCTGCTGATGCCAGGATGGATCTTGGCTAGGTCATGACCATAGCTTGTCTCTTCTGATTTCTGGGTTGACCATGGCTTGTTCCTGACAGAGATTTATCTCTACCGACCTCCTGGTGTGATGTCGCTTCCCTTCTGATAATTACTCTGCCTGCTACCCTTATTGCTGTTTGTAGCTACTGACCATCCCAGTCCACACAACACTTCTTGCTTACTCTGTGCTCCAGCATCCTGGCCATCTCCCATCTTATCTACTAATTCTCCGGAACCTTGCTGTCGGTCTGCACTAGCCCCTCACAGACAAAATTGCCTCCAGAAGGAACATTCCATAGATTGTAGTTCTTTCACCTGTCACTCTGTGCCCTCTCACTCCTTGTTCTACCCCAGAGGTGGCTGGACCACAGGTGTATGAGAAGTTCTCTTGTAAACTCAGCCTCCAACCAGGTACATGATGTTATACAGGCGACCTGACAATGCAAAGCAATACCACCATAAGTAAAAACAGAGTCTGTCCCATTTATCCATCTCTTCACCTCTCCATAAGCCCTGATGAAGGGGGATCAGCAAAGTCCCTAAAAATTGTTTGCTATTTACGGTCACTATTCTGATCAAGAAAGGCTAACTGAACATTAATTTACCTCTGTGGCAGGTTCTTCTCTCTGCTGTTTTTTATGAATGTTGTTTCGAGGACATCTCTTGGCCCATCAGTTTATCGAGAATTCTATCTTTAACATGCAACTCCTCCTAAGACTCCTCTCCACGTGCACTTCCCCATATATTGTCATTTTGTACGACTTGTTAACCACTTCCAGTCCGGACACTTTTACCCCCTTCCTGTCTAGGATAATTTTCAGCTTTCAGCACTGTCGCACTTTGAATGACAATTGCACGGTCATGCAACACTGTACCCATAAGAATTTTTTAGCATTTTTTGAGACAGATAAAATTTTATTTTGGTGGTATTTATTCACCACTGGGATTTTTTTTTTTTTTGCTATATAAATGAAAAAGTCCAAAAATTTAGATAAAAAGTGATTTTCCTATAAAATTTAGCAAATAAATAATCTTTCTTCATAAATCTTGGCCAAATTTTATTCAGTTATCTTTTTTAGTAAAAAAAAATAACCCAAATTAGTTTATAACCAAAAAGTATAATTTTTCAAACAATTTTTTTTACATTTTTATTTATTTATTTATTTTTTAACATACTGTCACCCTGCAGTACAGTGTCACCATAGTGACACTGTACTACTTGTGGGGGGTGATGAAGATTTATTTTTTTTTACACTGATTGCTTTTACACCCATAAAGACTGTAAAAGCAATCATTTCTCCTTCTCTCTGGCAGCATTCTTGCAGCCATTGAGAAATACTGTGTGAGTTGTGATTGGTCACAGCTTGTCACATGCTACAAGGCTGTTGTGAATAGCCTTGTACCATGTGATCTCCGTGATCATTCACATGTAGTAAGCAATTATGTCAGAAGTGACATCTTGCTTACACCTATTCATGTGATCACTGATTGGCCAATCAGTGATCACATGATCGGGACCTCACACAGAAGTCCGTACAGCGATCGGTGTTTCTCTGTGTCTGGAGGACAAAGCAGGCACCGGTTCTTGGTGCCGTGCTCTCCAAGGGAACGTTACAATCCAAAGTGGCAGGTACCGTTTATGAACGGCAACCCTCCCCTGCACTGCCACGGTCCGGCCGTTTATATACAGCGCCCTGGACGGGAAGTGGTTAAAAAAGCAACATGAATTGTTGTAATGCTGAATTATTAATTAGTAATAATAATAATAATTAGAG